CACGTGTACATTAAACAGTATTTCAATGGTCACTGTAAAATTCACGCGTCACAACAAATCAATTTTTGGCTTTAACCTCTGCGACCCTTACATAACTGTTCAGGAGTAAGGAGTTTGCAGTCTGTATTTCGCATTTTGGGGGCTTTCTTTCCTTAATTTTTTTCTTGGCGAATTAAGTTAGCTTAACTCTTAACATTCGCAGCAGCTTTTTATTTAAAGGTAGATATATTCAATGATAATCTGGTCAAACAATTGGTCGATGTCTTTCAAAGACATGCATGCTTCCCAATTATCCCGCCTAATAATATACCCATCATTATAAGTCTAGAAGTCTTTCAATAGCATGGCAACCTACGATACAAGTGTGATGAAATATTTGCACCAGTTGAAACTTTATAACTAACGATAACTATACAAATGGAATAACTAGTAACTACGTATTTGAATAATAACAAAAATAATAATAATAATAATAATAATAATAATAATAACAACTTTATTTAAGGAGAGTAATTCAACTGATGAACTTGTGGCCCTCAAATAAATCAAACAAAGATTTTAAATAAACATAAAGTGCATGAAAATCCCCACTGGCAGGAGGCAGACCAGTAGGCTATTTTACAGAGCGCAGCCAAAGAGTTGAACTCGGGAAAACCGAGAATAAATCCAGCGAGTTGAGCTAGGGTCCAGTACCCTAACCACTCGGCCACGCCGCCTCCTGACAACCATTCAATGTGTTTTCAATAAGTGTCAAAATAGTAGATGTGCAATGAACTATTGCGCACAGGGTAGTATTTTTAACGATAATACAATATCTGATTTGTTCCCACCCGTCTCTCATTATTGATGCTCGGTCATAGGGCCATAGTGAACTGGCACTACTGATCTCCAAAGGGACGATGGGAAGGAGTACGTACGCGTCTCTCATTATTGATGATCAGTTATTGGGCCTCAGTGGGCTGGCACGACTGACCATCAAAGGGACGACGGGAAGGAGGAAAACATGTTGTCGTCTCCTTTCTCATCTTCCTCCCTGCACATCTCTTCAGTGTTTCTCTCCTTAGTTTTTAAGAAATAAGGGTATATGACCACAGTTTAAAAAAAACATGACAAAAAACTCAGTCGAAAAGTATGGCTTTTTGAAAACTCAGCGATATACAAATATTAAGTATCTCAGTCTAATGGCTATAATTATATGTCTATAGGTCATGACAAATATCATTATTTGATGAACAAGCAAAATACATTAATCATCGAGCGGCCCAATATTCCTATGGTTTATGGATCAATTTTAATTAAGTTACGTTTGTGAACGCTGAAATGGTTATTTTCTCCTGGCATATAACTGAACCGTAATCCTTAATAAAGTAGTCTCGCTAAGAGGTAGTTATGCAAATAAAGAGAAATTTAAATTAGGTTTTTTCTTAGTTATTCGTTTTAAACATAATAGTTCAAGTCTATTAATCAAGATAAAAGACCTCCACTTCATCAGGCTTGAAATGGTAAGTCCCAGCAAGGATTGTTGTTCTCACCCTTACCCCACTTGGGACTGCATAGGAAGAGCCAAAGTTTGTGTAGGAGTGTGTATTGCTGCTAGCATTATCTTTGATGCAGATGTCGTGACCTCCACCAAATGTTACCCCGAGATTGAATAACCTTACAATAGCCCAGTTAGGATACCTCACCAGGCTCTTGAACGGTGGCAGTCCTTCTTTATTGACGAGAGAGAAGATGAACGCTTTAGAAGTGTTTGTGTAACTTCCGCTGGACTCTGTAGCGATAAAAAGACTTACGATCCTTCTCTGGTAGATTTAAAAGAAAGTAAAAGGGGATCGATAATTTCATCACAACTTCATTGATGAGCAAAACCTTTCTTTCGTGTTTCGCT